AGGTTGACACCCGTTGTGTAAACTCACTTTACTGAGGGTTTACAGTGTAATCAATGGCTTAGCTTACTGAGGTTTTACTTTGGCCTGGGGCCGAAATCTGACATGGAGAGTAACATAAGTAAGATAACTGAAACTTCAATATTTAAATTTGGTTGGGTCTATAGGTAATAGAAAAATAAAGAGTATACACTTTGTGTGCAGTGATTTAGCTGGTCAAATAAATCGCTGCAACAGTTCGTGTTCTGGAATGAAAATTCCCTCCCGGGCAACGTAGATTTATTGATAGATACATAGTCTGTCTTTTAATAACTTACGTTGCGTGTAGCGGGCTTTACTGCAATAGCACCTGAGCTTGCAGTTACCCCTTGAACAATATAAGCACATGCCAAGGGCTCCGAGGGACAGGGGCACTATTGGGCATCGGTGTCATTGATGTAGCCAACGAACCTTAGCGATATAAATTTTCATGGAAATCAACATCTTTTTTGTCAATAGTGCTTTAATCATTATCAGTTATACCTATTCAACCTGCTTTAGGTCTGATGAGTACTATGACGCTATCTGATATTAGATGTATACAGAGTGTTATGGAAAAAAAGGAAAGTCAGAAGGGTACTTATGCTGGGGTTGTTCTTAGGGCACCAGGTGGAACTGATTGGCATTTCGTGAGACGATAATGGCATGAAAGATGAAGCCTACTCACCTGAGAACTAACCCTAACCCGAAAGGAAACAGTTCATTCAGACTAAATATTTACTCTCGGCGTATTTTTGTATAAAAAAAGAAAACGCTCTGGTGACCTCCCTAACGTAAACTCTCTTCCCCATGGGCAGAAATCCTCAACACCAACGGCTACAATCCCCACGTTGGCGCCGGAGAGAACGGGGATCCAGTCCAGATCCCCAACTGGGAGATGGGGAAGATGCAGAGGCTGTATCACATCAACAAGTTTAACCTCTTGGCCTCTGACAGGATTTCTGTGAATAGGTCGCTCCCTGACGTCAGGAAAAAGAGGTGAGTTGCCCCGCGCTTGTCAGGTTATAGGGTGTGTGCTTGTGTGCCTGGATGTGTGTAGTACTTTGGTCAATATCCACACGCAGTTGCACACAAACGCAAATACTTACACGTATGCACACACACACACACACACACACACACACACACACACACACACACACACACACACACACACACCAAAACACTTTTATAGTATGTCTCAGTGAATATGTGTATGTGTATAACTGTGCGTATGTCTGTGTGCGTGCGTGTAACTGTGTCTGACTAACGACTGTGAAAGCGCTAGTGCGTTTGCGTGTCTATGTGTATGTGTGCTTGTATGTACATATGTATGCATGTAAGTGCTTGCATATATTTGTGTACACGCGTGAGTTTATACAAATAAGCACACATGAATATAAAACGAAGACAACAACAACAACAAAACGACACCAAGACACATTATAAAAAAAATACCCCCCCCCCACCACCACCAGGTGCCACGACACGTCCTTCGACATCGACGCCCTCCCGACGACCTCCGTGGTCATCGTCTTCCACAACGAGGCCTGGTCGACCCTCCTGAGGACCGTCCACTCCGTCATCGCTCGCTCGCCGAGGCAGCTCCTGAGGGAGATTCTGCTCGTGGACGACGCCTCCGAAAGGACGTTTCTCAAGGTTGGTTGCGGTTATGGTTGTGTATTGCTTGTTGTGTGTTTTATTTTAGTATTATTCTCATTATGATTATAAACAATGTTACCTTTATCTTTATTGTTATTACCATCACCATGGAAATCATTATAATTATCACCATTATCTTTACTGTTATTACCATCGTAGTCATTATCATCACCGTGTAAATCATTATAATTATCACCATTGTCACCATTATCTTTATTGTTATTATCGTCATAGTCACTATCATCACCATGGCAATCATCATCATCATCCATTATCACCTTTATCTTTATTGTTATTATCACCATAGTCATTATCATCACCATAGTAATCATCATTATCTTCCATCATCACCTTTATCTTTATTGTTATTATCACCATAGTCATTATCATCACCGTGTAAATCATTATAATTATCACCATTGTCACCATTATCTTTATTGTTATTATCGTCATAGTCACTATCATCACCATGGCAATCATCATCATCATCCATTATCACCTTTATCTTTATTGTTATTATCGTCATAGTCACTATCATCACCATGGCAATCATCATCATCATCCATTATCACCTTTATCTTTATTGTTATTATCACCATAGTCATTATCATCACCGTGTAAATCATTATAATTATCACCATTGTCACCATTATCTTTATTGTTATTATCACCATAGTCATTATCATCACCGTGTAAATCATTATAATTATCACCATTATCTTTATTGTTATTATCACCATAGTCATTATCATCACCGTGTAAATCATTATAATTATCACCATTATCACCTTTATCTTTATTGTTATTATCACCATAGTCATTA